AGCTCCAGCCTTAATTCCAACTTTGTTCCAAAATATTATTATTCAACGCGAAAAATTAGAATTAGCCGAAAGAATATTTTGAATCACTTCGGAAATGCTACCGTAGCACCAGACTGAGTTCACAATATCGAGTGATTTTGATTGACAGGTGTAGCGCCGTTGTGCATGCATTTCGTGTAACTATACATGTACTGCAGATTGTGGTTGAAAATAATAAACAAACAGATTTAAAGAAAAGATATTGTATACTGTACATATATTTGTTAAGAACCAGTTCATTCATGAAACGAATTTAGTCGTATTATGTGGGCCCATGTTATATTTGACAGGTTGATTTACTAGTAGAAATTCAATGGACCACAGTCATTTAGGGTATTCCGAATCACCCCGCATATCGCGACTCTCGGTAATTTACCTTAGTTACCGCTGTACCTCGCACGACACATGCACAGGTGTAACAACCAAACAGTCATTATTAGTAAGGTCTATACTTATTGCATACAACAAATAAAGAGGTAAACATAATGCGTTAAGTAAAAGAATTAATTATTTTAATTCATTAACTTCGTATCCTTTTCGAAGAAAATGCCCGTGTGGAAACGTTGCATGGTATTTCTCATCGATGTCGTGGCGTTGTTGGTGGATGAAACATGGCATATAAGGTATCGATAGAACGGCAATTTTATAAGCTTTTGTGAGTATTATTTGTTTTTAATAACACCTTAACAATATACTAGTTATGGCCGCATTTGTAGCCCCCTACAGTTTCGAACCACGTGTGTACATGCCCCTAGCCAAATAAATTGCACACGCTACATGTATACTTGTTATATGTCAGATTATTATTTTTTTTATAACATTGTTTTTCTTAAATGCAAAGGGTATGAAAGTAATGATTTGACAATGCAAGAGCTATAATAAGACTATCCCGGGTCCCGGTATATACACTTGATCAGTGTTGATCAATGGTGATATGTACGAGTACACGTATGCAGTGATATACGTCATTCTTGATAATCATGAAATCTAAACATGAGTTGGTTTAATTCCTTTTCACAATTTTTTTTATCATCATTATATCATTATTTGGTAGCCTACTCGTAGAATTATGACTGTTCAATGTTAATTATTTGCATTAAAAAAATCACATAGGTAAAAAAAATTACATAATTATCATGATTATATTTACAGGACAACAATTTACAATCAGGTAATTTCAGAAAGTAATATTCTGTTGGTATTTGCTTTTCTGCATGATCCGCCTCTGAGAACGCTGTTTTATAGTGTGTCTACAGAAGGGAGGGGGGGGGGGGGGCTTTAATAACTTAATATAAAAAACAACAACATTCAACAAGAAAATAATTCTTTTCTTTTGGTAAACAATACCAACTAATTCATTAATTATAATGTTGTTATCTGACTGTTTTTAGCCATTTACCTGGTGATTCGAAATACCCGGAAGTGACCTGCAATACACTAAAAAGGTGATGTAAATATAACCCCTGTCAAGGCCGCTGTATCGTAGATAGACTCGCCGTGTACTGTAGATTTGATTTTTCATTGAATTGGCTTTCCTTTAATACCAACCAACCATTTATAAACTTGTTAATAAAATCGTTTACCGTCAAACTGTAAAAAGTGATTCGGAATACTCTAAATGTACCCGTTATAAAAACAACTCATTATCAACTCAGTGGACCAATAATTTACTTCAAAATAAGCTATAGATCAATAAAATTGATTTCAGATTAACCAACATTTTGTTGCAAAGATAATGTAAAACAGAGACCGGGGATTTTGTATTTCTCTGTATTTTAAACACTCGATATGCGTACATTTGGGGCGCTCTTGCATATACATGTACACTTGACTGTACATTCGAATTCATGATCGTGCTTATAAAAAGAGCATGTTCTGTACTTGCGTGCATGTATGTATGTATGTATGTATATATGTATGTATGTATCCGTAAAACTTTTCGATTTTCCCGAGAATTCATCCTCACAATGTCAATTCAGGTTCCGAAATCACAATACCTTGACATTGTGAGGATGCCGAGAATTGAAAAAGTCACCTCCACTTACAATTATCATGCATGTGTACATGCAGTTTAAAACACGAGACAGAAAAATAAATTGTCGCAAACTTAATGGTTAAGTCGGCAATTAAAATGGGTAAAACTTGAATAAATGCACGGGCGGTGAGGATTGATAAAAATAAGCGTGAGATAGAGTAAAATAAAATAATATGTAAGATTCGAAATGATTTCAAACCCAATTTTCCATTAATCGCTATGAGTACACAATGTATTTTAACACCGATATGACCCCGACTCTCTGCGGCCACATGTGCACGAAGACTGGGTTACAAAGCGACAGAGCAGAGTGTAAACTGTGCTGTAAGAAGGCGTGAATTATTGTATGTTTAAAAGTATTATTTGATGTATATAGTTTAATATTTAATGAAAAATTAAATGAAGAAACAATTAAGAGACTGATAGTAAAAATTATACTTTACACAAGTATTAATACTTAATACTTCCATCACTAATTGCAATTATTTGCTTAGCACCTTTTCAATTACAATTGAAATAGAATACAATTACACGGGACAGAGAAATAAATTGTTTGTTTTGTTTTGTTTTTTAAAAAATCGTATTGCTGTGTCGACAGTGAACAGGCCGGTAAAAGCGATTAAGATTCGAAATGATTTTATGCACTAGTGTTTGAAATTAAGATTAAATCAAAGATGCAATTACACGGGACAGAGAAATAAATTGTTTGTTTTGTTTTTACTTTAAAAAAAAATCGTATTGCTGTGTCGACAGTGAACAGGCCGGTAAAAGCGATTAAAATTCGAAATGATTTTATGCACTAGTGTTTGAATTTAAGATTAAATCAAAGATGAGATTAAGTTATCTTAAACTGTTAAAGATTAAAAAAAAAAAAAAAAAAAAAAAAAAAAAAAAAAAAAAACAATGTTTCATTAGTCGTTGTTTCTACACGATGGATTTAAAACGTGATCACAGTCTTCACAGATATTTGTTTTGTTTACATGGTTTATGACCGCAGGTGGCTGGTCGATGGTGACCTCGGCAACGTGGGATCGCGGATTGTGTTACATAACAAAAAAACATCTAGGTGAACATGGAGAACGTAAAATGCGTACAGTTAATGATCATTAATTATTCGAAGCTTAGAAATTAATATTACTTACATACTTAAATAGATACATTTAATTCCTTCCTTTATTTGAAGATGTTGTTCCCTTTAAAACTAAATTAAAAAAGAAAAGAAAGTTGTAAAAAATAATTTATGAGTGAACCACAGAACACGTTTAAAACCTTATTTAGAAGAAAATTAACATTAAATACAGTAGGGTATATTATTTATAGCAAGTTTGTTTAAGTTATACACATGAAGAGTTCTGATTTACTTGCCGATTGAAAACGCTTACCTGTTTACGGGACCTGCTTTTTACCTACATATTACGACATATTACGCAATACTCGAACAAAACAACATTTTTATGAGATCAACAAGGTGTTAAAGAGCAACTTTAATTCCTAAATCCATATCGAAATATTTACCGTTTTTGAGTTATAAAGCGAAAACTTTCAAGGGCTCTAGATCCCTAATTTTAGGGGCCAGCCCCTTTGAAATGATATCAAATGAAAGCTCTTGGAATTATGCACAACTTTTATTCTACATGTTTTAACAAATTATTTTTAGTTTTAAAGATATAAAGGAAAATATGTCAAAATTTTTGCTCTTTTTCGCGTTCTAACTTTTGACCCCTCTCTAGCGCCATTTTTAATGCAAAAATCAAGAAAGAAAAACCGATGTGCACAACTTCAATGCTTCTTCTTTTCAATTTCAAATGGTATTGTGCTCCAATTATTACAGTTTCCGAGCCTTTGTCTGGAAACCAGAGGCATAAAAATTTCAATCAAAGGGGAATAACTCGTGAACAGAAGGTAATTTCCGAATTATATTACAGTATTCTGAAAGTGTTTTGTAAAGTCTAAAAGCTCTGAAAATTTGAACAAAATCCGTTCAGAAATGAGGAAGATATGAAGCTTCAAAGTTGGCGTCTAGGAAAAAAAAAAAAAAAGAATAATAAGAATAATCTTAATCATTACAATCAGTAGAAGGTCTTCCGTTGGAAACGGAAGACCTTAATAATCTTAACCATCAGAATCAGTAGAAGGTCTTCCGTTGGAAACGGAAGACCTTAAATATAAATTATAAAGAAATTTTCCAACAAGCCCTTGGGTTGAAAATTGGGGGAAAAGGGAGGGAGGGTCCACAAGTACCTGTGTTTCCCACTATATTAATTGACTTTCCAGTACAATTCCTATTGTTTCCTTACTCTGTCCATTCGACTGAAGTACATGTATTTACATTTACTGAATTTTTTCTTTTTTATTTCTTACGAAAACCACTTCCCCTAATCAACCCATTAATGTTACACTAGTTACAACTGGTTTTTGAAGGCCACCTTTACACAATTATTTATACATTGACATACATAAAAATGAAAAAAATAAAATGTCCTTATTTGTTTGTTCATGTGGGATTAATGGTTGCAACCACTGCAAAAAACAAAAACAAAACAAAATAAAAAAAACATAACCTGTGTACTCAGTAATGACCCCAACTTTACCAGCTTCCTCCCTTGGTCTTTTCAGATGCACACATAAACACCATAGCATAAATGCACAAACAAACTACAATGTAAGTTAATTAATCTACACTCAGCTTGCTGAGAAATACAGTACCAGCCAGTGTGGCCTCCAATACATCAGACAATAAAGAGACAGAGAAATACAGTACCAGCCAGTGTGGCCTCCAATACATCAGACAATAAAGAGACAGAGAAATACAGTACCAGCCAGTGTGGCCTCCAATACATCAGAAAATAAAGAGACAGAGAAATACAGTACCAGCCAGTGTGGCCTCCAATACATCAGACAATAAAGAGACAGAGAAATACAGTACCAGCCAGTGTGGCCTCCAATACATCATCTGTGGAGTATTCCTGTGTCTCCTCAAGACTTTGTTCCTTCTCCAGCTCTGCCATGTTTTGATAAATGTATCCAATGTCTGAATAGAAATAAAATGTTCTTAAAAATCAATTGTTTGAGTAAAACAAATTTTCCTTTCATTTGTTCAATTATAGTGTGACTACATATTTTAGTATCTCAAAGAATTAATCAACAAAATGATATCAAAGTAAATTATACTGAATTTATTAAACATGTACGCTAAGGCTTTTGCTATTTGTGAAGTTAATGAATTTCAACTGTAGAATATTGATTGAGTGAAGTAAATCTATTTTTATACTTACTCAACTCAACATTATCTTTCTTGTAAACAATATAAAATTCATCTCCATGATTCAACTCTTTCCGCTGTGTAGTAGACATTTTTAGATGTACAATATCAACATCATTTTAATAACTTGCATTTTTACAATAAATTTTCACTGTTTGAAAAAAATAATTTAAAGCACAAAGATGATAACTATTCTACGTAAAATGTGTTTAAAATGTTATTAAACTGTTAAACTTGTAAAATAAAGTCAATCTCGATTTTTTTTTTCATTTATATTACATGTATTTGCATGTTTAAACAAGATACTTACATTTCCTTTTGTAACTTTGCATTTCAAATTCAAGAGTGTTCCATTTGTGCTGTAATCATCAAAGTTAATTTAAAAATAATACAATACATTCATTTTTCTCTGCAGTACATGACTAAAAGTATCTCACGACAATTGGATCAAACATGGCTCCAGGTCAACATGTATATCTCACTGACCTAAGGAAGACCCTCCCATTTTTAGACCACTGAGCTACAGACTTTTAGCTAGTGTAAGGGATGCAAGCAGAATGTGGTGAAGGCATTTCCACATGTATCACAATTCAAAATCAATGACAATCAGGTGTGGATCTAGAAATTTTTCAAAGGGGGTTGAAGAGGAAATGAGATTTGTTACAACGTTTGTGTACAAATTTAAACCTGAAAAATGACAAAAAAAAGGTAAATCATTCTTCAAACCTGACAATCGTATTGCGGGGAGGGGGGTAGGGGTATTTCCATTTTTTTTACATCCCAATTTTCTTCATACTACATAGCCTTTCACTGAACATTTTCCATGTTGAAAATAAAAACACAACAAATATATTCTTCAATCATTAATTAGTTTATAGTTTGACAACAAATTACCCTTACCTACTTGAATAGGTCAAGTTTATTTAATAAGTATGCTGGGTGATTATAGGAAAATGGTATTCATTGTGTAGTATTTAGATATTAACAGTTTAGAAATGTAGATAGCACTTTTTTTTCTTTTTTTTAAATCAAGTTTAATTTTTTTTTTAATATTTCATCCGTTTAAAAATCTGAACTCTTCATTTATTTATTCATTTATGTTATTTCTTTTTCAATTATCTATTTTATTTCATTTATCTACACAATTCAAATTATTTCTTCCTTCCTTTATTTATTCATTCCTTTATCATTAATCAACATTAATGAACTTACTTTACAGGACAGTATTTTGCATTTAAATATGATTCCTCCCATGTTACTTTTTTTCTCCTTTTTAAAATTAAAAGAAAATATGAAAAGTAATTATTATTTACCTTTTTATTTGTTATATTTGTTATATAGGGAGAAAAATGAATTATAAGCAAAGGAAAAGGAAATTTGCAGTAATAAGAGAGCACAAAAAGTCCCAACTTTGAAAATAAATTGTGAAAAATCTAGACATAGAATCTCAAATCGCCACATAAAATCGATAATTTACCAGTAATGTATGAATCTTTATTTACATGTATTCTGGTGCATGCACTTTTCCACTAAAGGTAGGCGTGAAGCATTTGAAAATCACCTTTATTATCCTCCAAAATTGGAGAATAAGCTATTCCACAATGCATTGTGATTTTCCATATAATATATGGAAAGATTTTGGCCACCCTATTGAATTTTGGCTATCCTACAAAATTGGAAGCTGCCTAGACCTGCTTAATAAGCAAGAATGCCAGATACAGGATTCTGTATATTTGCAGTGTTACCATACAGCAATAAAAGACTGACAGAATTGAAAATGCTAAAAACTGTGTTTACGCATGCTCCTTGAATCACTGGATTTTCTTCTTCATTATCTCAGATGGATTATTTTCCTTTTAATACATGTACCAACTAATGTTGAACTAACATGAGAAAATTGTGGTAAAATGGTATTCATACTCTCAAATCCCTCCCAAGAAACTTTTAATGCACACCTACCTTGAATCTTTAAGCCAGACTTGACCATCTGCATCTCTCTCAATACTACAATGGTGTCCAGAAACTAGTTTGTTTCCAGCAAAAGGGATATCACAGTCTAAAAAATTATTGTAGACACACAAATGTGGCAAAAATAATTTTAAAAAATCACATGTGAAATATGAAAATAATTTAATAAAACTTATATGTATATCTTTAACATGTTTAATTTTAGAACTCTGATATTCAGAGTGACTTTTTCTCCCAGCTCGCTTAAAAAAAGGTACCTGGTGCTCTGCCGATCGTAAGTCTATCTTTGGATAACGGTATAGGATCAGTATCAACATCAGTCAGACTGACCAACTGACCCCATGGTTCTTCAACATCCATACTGTCAATGCCACTGTATATAAAAGCTTCTCAATGTGTTTCTGTTACATTTGTGTCTGACTTTCTCCAGGAAATGTCCACAGTTTTTGATCTTTCCCGAATCGGAAACCAAGATCGCTATGTAACAGTCAAAACGTATCAACAATATTAGAAGCCACAAGAATTCCGGATTTGCTGAAGGCAAACTATGCTGATTAGGTTTAAAGAGTGGTAGATTTTAAAGATAAAAGTATAACGCTGTTTTTTCTTAATATTGTCTAGTAAGAAAGTAAGCATAGAAACTGCTCTTCTCGTATTTAAGTCATTGAATTTTAGGGATATTTGGACCCATGCACCAAACTTGGGTGACGTGCCTTGATTGTTTTCTCATATTAATGATGGTTATCCGTCTCATTTTATTTTTTAAAAAAATGTATCTATATAGCCATCACTATATATTTTACAAAATCCACTTAAAAATCAACTTACCATGGTTCTCTTCAGGCACTGGCGGATCCTAGAGGGGGGTCCGGCGGTAGGACCTCCCTTTATATTTTTAGCCAAGTGGAGAGAGAATGAGGGAGAGGGAGGGGGGGGGGGGTTACTATTTTCTGGGAATCTGCAGTCTCCGCTCATATCCCACTTCCGCCTTGCTATTGATTGTGTCTCGCATATTTCCTTTCCTCCATTTACCTTCACTATCCCTCGCGTTCATGATCAGCGTTTTTAAATTTATGAGTACTAGTGAAAGGTAGAAAAATATTTTACTTATTATCTGCTTATTTCAGTATACATATAATTATGATAGGTAACATGCGAGGTTCAATTTGAAATAAGATTCCGTCGATCTTTGGCTAATTACTATTTTTGGATCATTTTTTGCAGGAATTGAAATAGATATGCAATAGGCCACAGTAAATTAATCCTTTGTTCTACTTCCCCTGATGGGTAAGACCAAGTATTCAGGAAAATCCAGTTAAAAAACAAACACAAGTTTGGCCAATTCTCAACAATTTTTCTCTGCATTTTTTATAAATAATGCAAATCCATTCATTTTCAAGGCTACAGTAGTTTTTGAAATGTGATTGTTTTTTATTCTGACTGGAGCTAGGGTACCTTTTCGAAGAAAAAGAAAAAAAGGGACGTAAACCAAAAGTATTATTTATCACGGCCTATGATGATTTCTCTTTCCCTGTGTATGAATCCATGTTTGTGTGTGCGTGTGTTTGGTGGTGGTGGTGGTGGGGAGCACCACCCTGGAACCCCGTAGTCTTGTATGCCTAGCCTTTTATCTTACTCCAAGGTATACCCATGGCTCAAATTTTAGTCAATGTTTAGATAACTTTTTCATCTCGTGGACGGAGAATGAAAAACAACATCCTACCAACTTTGTAAGCGGAGGTAACAATCCACTGTTCATTTTTTTAAAATTTCAATTCATAAATTAACTGGCCCGTAGGAAGCAATCTGAGTTTGGGGGTGGGGGTACAGCCAAACAATTTTACTTGGTGGTTGTGGGGGGGGGGGGGGGGAGGGGGATGAAGCCAAACATTTTCACTTAGTAGTGGTGGTGGGGGGCGCAACTAAACATTTTCACTTGGTAGTGGTGATGGGGAGGAGGGGAGGGCAAGGCAAAAATTCCGTAACAAGCAAAAAAAAAAGGCAATCAGATCTTAATATTGAGGGTTGTTCTGTTTTTCTGTGTTCTGTTTTATATATATCAGGAAATATTATTGGGAGGGGGGATGCGCACGCCCCCCGTTTCAAAGGCAATGATAAATCAAAATATTCACCCCCCCCCCGGATTCCAGATCGATGGATGGTTGGTCAAGTGCACGTCTTTTTATACAGTATACGCATAATATAAATTGTTGTAAACAAAATTTTCATATTTGATTTCATACGGTAAATAAATGTCAAATATGTGCGCTTATCCATTATTTTTTATCAAAGCAATATAAGCTGTAGTTTTTTGTTGTAGGATGGTTTAAGTTACGTAAAGAAATGTCAGCACAGCATATTTTTACATCAAAATAAAATTCCCGAAATACCGTCCATGTTGATTTAAATATATATCTCTCAAATAAGAGCGGTTATTATGCTTACAGATGTAGGCGATTTATTTTTTACAACATATACACGGCTGTGTACAAAGTAGACCCTGACTACTTGTTCCATCGATGAAACAGCAAATTGCAAGGAAAAATGCAATTTCTCTAAAATAAACTTACTTGTACAGTACCTTGAACAATAAAGCCAAGAAAAAAATTAACATTTCTTATGATCATTCAACGAAAAGAAAATTGTTCTGCTAGATGGTAATCAGTCCTACATTTTAAGGAGAGGACATTTTGGTTTCGATACATCCTGTATTTATCAAAGAGTTATTAGATAAAAGTTACAAACATATATGGGGAACCTATTCCCTTCTTTTACCATAATGACAGTCTTTGATTCTGCTATATAACGTTAGAATTAAATTTCTACATGCGGTTTCATTGATCTTTAAAGACGCTGGCAATGCTGTGACGAAGCATCGGTAAATGATTACATTTTATCAAACAAACATCATAACTCTTTTAAAGTTTTTATCTACAGAAAAATGTATGCAAGGACCAAATGAAGTTTTAAAATTTGTTATCTCGACATCGACGGGACCATCGGAAAATGTCGAGATATCCGAGGTGTCGAGATATCAGAGTTGAGACTTGACGTCCAAGATTTCACTGCATAGCAAAACAGACAAGCTTATTATATATACATGACTTCAATACAGACTGTAGCTCAATATATTTCAGAATTCCCTCTATTTTTATCAAAAATCTAAGAAGTTATTTTTAAAATCTTGTTTATAAAACGTGTTCTTTATCGAAATCTTTCTAAATTCATACACCGTTCACGTTAGTAAGTCGGTAGAGCGCTCGCTCCGTGATCGGTAGGTCGTGAGTTCGAATCTCGGCCGCGACTGCCCTAAGTCGATAAAAAATGGGTAGCAACTGTTCCTTCGCCATGCGCTCGGCACTTTGAAGTGAAAGTTGCGGGTCCTTCGGATGAGACCTAAAAAACCGAGGCCCCGTGTCACGGCAGGCGTTGGCACGATAAAGATCCCTCACTGCTCAATGGCCCTGAGTGCCGAGTAAAGGTCAAAATTTGAAGCCCTTAACCGGTATATGGTGACGTCTCTATATGAGTGAAAAATTCTCGAATGGGACGTTAAACAACATACAATCAATCAATCAATCAATCTAAATTCACAGACAGTCACGATAGCTCAGTCGGTTGGGCGCTCGCTCCTTGATCGGTAGGTCGTGAGTTCGAATCTCGGCCGCGACTGACCTAAGTCGATAAAAAACAGGTAAGAATTGTTCCTTCGGATGAGACCTTAAAACCGAGGCCCCGTGTACCGGCAGGCGTTGGCACGATAAAGATCCCTCACTACTCAATGGCCCTGAGTGCCGAGTAGAGGGTAAAGGTCTAAATTTGAAGCCCTTCACCTGTATATGGTGACGTCTCTATACGAGTGAAAAATTCTCGAATGGGACGTAAAACTGCATACAATCTGAATCTAAATACACAAGTTACAGCATTTGCGTGTAACCACTCTGCACACCTCGGCCTATTCGTACCTCATCTAACAAATAAATAAAATCTAAAAGAAATCAAGCCTTTATGAGCTCTCGAAGACTTTCACATTTCGATTTTTTTTTCCATCAGAACTTCTGAACCCAATCTCAACTAGTTATAATTGTAACGGGGACCGTTACAGATGTTCCCCAAACGCTCCCCAACTCCCTTTTGGTGTCTTATTCCCTGTAAGCTTCATTGAATAAGGCAATCAAGTATATTGTTTTTTTACGCATTACACGCGCGCGCACGTGCATGCATGTGCAGGATGGTCATGTCATTTCGTCTATACTATAAATGCATCTTAATTCTGAGTATTGAAATATTTCATCAAAAAATATAAAAGTTACGGCTATATCAAGTATATTGTTCATTTAAGCATTGCACGCGCGCGCACGTGCATGCATGTGCATGTTGACCAAACTATCTTGTCTACACCATTAATATTATAAGTATTGAAGCATTTCGTCAAAAAGTATAAAAGTCACAGCTATATCAATTTTATAGGTCATTTTAGCATTGCACGAGCCCGCACGTGAATGCATGTGCATGTTGACCATATCATCTTTTCTACACCCTTAGTATCTCTCTATATTATAAGAATCAAAGCATTTCATCAAACAGTTTAGAGTTAACAGCTATATCAAGTATATTGGTCATTTTTCGCATTGCACGTGCGCGCACGCGCATGCATGGTCCTGCATTCAATTTTGATAGTAACATAATGTTGGAATCCATTGTACCTATTTATATTCTAAATTTCATCCTGTTTTGTTGAGAACCAAGAAAGTTATAGTCATTTAAAGTTTAAGCCAATCAGATTGCAGCACACGTGCATGCGCGTGTTTTCATGATAATTCTTATATATTATATTGTACAACCTCCAAATGTATGACTATGTTCTAAATTTCAAAGTATTTTGTCAAAAAACAAAAAAGATACTGAGACTTTTGTTTCAGCCAATCAGAGCGAAGCGCACGTGCATGCGCGTGAGTTCATGCTGATTTGACCATGTCATCTTGTCCACTCTACTAATATATCCTTAAGTTATAAGTTTCAAAGCATTTCATCAAAAAATGTAAAAGTTACGGCTATATGAAGTATGTCAGTCATTTCACTCATCGCACGCGCCCGCACGTGCATGCATGTGCGCCCAAAATGACCTTCGACGAGCACATCTACACAACATGCCTATTAACCCTAAGAAGGTTTTAACTCAATTGGATGAGCAGTTTCCGAGAACACTCGCGGAACAAAAAGTACCGGAGAAGAAATAAGAATAAAAAAGAATAATAATAATAACTAGTTATAATTGTAACGGGGACCGTTACAGATGTTCCCCAAACGCTCCCCAACTCCCTTTTGGTGACTTTTTTCCTGTAAGCTTCATTAAATAAGGCAATGAAGTATATTGGTCATTTTTTGCATTTCACGCGCGCGCACGTGCATGCATGTGCAGAATGACCAAGTCATC